TGTACTTGAATATGTTGATATGCTGCTAAACAAAATCAACTAAACGACATCTGAACAATTTTTTTAAAATCCAATTAGACAAGAGAACCTTATCACATTATTTCTATTTGGTGTATTCACCTCCTACTCTATTTGCATATTAATATAAGTTGTCTGTTTCCAATAGAAGTTACGAATTATTTAATTATCTTTTCCGCGTATATCCCGCTTCCCTATCATTTAAATATATATTCGTGTCATACGTTTCCAAATATAACACAAATATGGATCTCTCTGCATTGTTATCACTTGTTGTGACAGCATTCTGATCAAGAAAATTGTATTTCTTGTTCCAGTGTTTTGAACTAATCTTCATTCTTCTTGCATTATTTCCAATATAATTCTGATTTGAACTCTATTCGGTAGGAACATAATTATAATTTTTTTATTTTATTTTTCAAGCAGATTTTTTTTTAATGAAGTTTTCATTCATTTGCACCTGATTTCTTTGTGGGTATTAAGGAAATTGATGTATTTAGAAATTCTGCTACTTAATGCTGTCAGCTATTTCATTAATCATTTTGGATACATTATCAATCTAAAATAATCACTTCCATCTGCATGTCGTATTATGGGCTTGATTTCTAGTTCCTCTTTATCTTCAATATTATTTTTACTTTAGAATTTAATATCATCGGCCCTTGTAGGCTTTTATATATTGTAAGTTTCTATTGTTTGTTATCAGAGAAGATATGTATTAATGCCACTGTTGGATTACATATTCTCTTGTCTTTATGACAGTTTCCGTTTTAGATTTTAAGCATCAGAGCATGTTTTCTCTCCTGCTATTTCTTGGATTGCACTTACATGACGTTTAAGTAGTGTGCCTCTTGCATTGTCCTGATCTCTGCAACTCTTCCTTTCAGCCATTCTTCTTTTGATTGTTTCAACTTACATTGTTTTGATTTCTTTTAACAATAACGTAGATTTCACTATTTCTTGACTTTATCTGCTTCATTAGATCGTGAATGTCAATTCTTTTTTGTTTGTTTGTTTTTTACATTTTGTGTCTTTTCTATCATTTCATGAATTCGTTTTTTTGTTGCTCTACTGGTGCGTTGTCCCCTGTAAATCGTCGACCTGTTTCAAAAAAAAAAAAAAATCTTATTTTATCTTAACAGCGACTTCATATGTTTAGACACTGATTTTAATTTCGGTCATTTTGTTCTTTGTTTACAGGTCATTCCATTTGTAGTCAGCGCTTGGAATTTTGTTTTTTAAGCGAAAACCTTAAATTTTGAATCCTTTGCTGATTGCGAAATAACTGCGTATTGGAAGCTATTCAAACCAAATGTTTTTCTTTTACATGTTTTTTTACTGTAGACCACTGAATTCATTTCTTTCCACTTTCGCTACGTGATCCAAGTCCGTATTTAAAAACATTTACAATATTTTGATTACGTCCTAAACCATGATAATAATGATTTCCCGTGACTTGCATAGAGATTTGGTATTTTCTAGGTTGTGTTATGTTCACCATTTTCGTGGTTAAAAGTGAACCATTTTTGAGACTTGGAATTGTGCAATGAAATGTTTGAAAATTCTTGTTGGCATCTCTTTGACAAATCCTAGAATCAAAGTTATTTACATTCAGCCAGATCTACAGTCATCCACACTATGACTTTGGTAAAAGAGAATGGGAATTATGTCAGAAAGAAATTGCTTTGAAAGAAGAAATAAATTATCAAAGAGTGGTTTGTATTCAATACATGATCACCAGCGACGTTTGTGTCAACCACATGAAAAATAAAAAAAGTATAGATGCTATGTCCATTTCTAATTATCACAATTTCATCTGGACTTGAAATAATCTATCTATCTATCTATCTATCTATCTATCTATCTATCTATCTCAGTCTGTTCATATTTATCTATCTCAGTCTGTTCATATTTATCTATCTCAGTCTATTCGTATCTATCTATCTATCTATCTATCTAATCACCATCAGCAGCTATGACTGAGCTAATCTGACTGAAAAATAATTTTTCCTTTCTCATTTTTTTTTAATGTTTTGTTATATGTCTGTTCAACCGAACTTTTGCTCCCCCTGTAATCCTTATTTCTTTCTATATGTCTCAATCATCTCCATTTCTGTCGCTTAATTCTTTTTCTTAATCTGCTTTGTTATCGGATCTATGTTATCTTCTTTTCTATCTTCTTATCCACGGCACCGATCTATACGTGAGCCTGAATTGCTTCAAGCTTTTATGTTAATTTAAATTTCCCTTCGGTTGATCAAATCAGGCTTTATAATTTCATGGTAGACTTGACGTTTTAAATATCCTGCTTTTGGTTATATTTTATTCTTTTATTAAATAATTTTTAGTCACTCATAAATCACTCGTTTTCTTTTCATGATTTTTTCCCTAATTCACCTAAGTAGATGCATTTTTAGACTTTTCCTAGCCCTTCATCTTTTTATAATCGATGGATGGACGTTACAGTTCAATATTAATTTTTTATTTGTGTTAATTTGAAAACCTATATTAAAGCATTCTTAATTATGCAATCCGATCTTTCGGATCTTAATATGATAAATTACTTTTTATTATGTTTTTGATTTCCAAACAATTGATATATGCCATTTTATTTAACTGTTATAGATTTCTGTTAATCACAAGATCTCTGAAATAGATATTTTCCTAGAGTATTTCCAGTTACTTATTCACGAGTTTTGGGAACATTACAATTGAATACTTTTGTCATGTTTAATCTTAGGTTTCACCGAAACTATCTAAATTCATATCTTTTAGCGTCTCATTCGATGATTCCTCGCAAAATGTCGCCAGACAAGCGCTGATGTTTTAAATATTCCCCATTTGTATAATACCTACAACCTAGGGTCAAATCCTTGGTCACGGTCATCAATTAATATATAACCCCTTTTGCCTCCGCCTACACGCGATGGTATAACCACGTTTAGTGGCCCGGTCCTCAGGGCCGACGTTTTAACCACAGGGCTATCTCTGCGCTGGTCAATACTGACGCTGGTCCATACTGGTTATTGATCGATGGCCGTTTTGATCCACACCAACTCTACCCATGTTATAGTCTTGATCAGCAGTGGAAAATCGAATACAGCATTAATGGCAGTGCTTGTTCAAGCCGTAGTGGGTGCTTATATCAAGAAAGAAATGTCTTTATAAAATAAATAAATAAATAAAAATAAATAAATACAATAAAACGAAATATTCATGTGTTAATCTTTAATTGGGTTATATAGTTCTTGGTACAATAAAAATTAACCTTTCACGCATCAATCTCTCTAGTGACACTGGACCTTGTCTAAAATTCTGCGGGTGTTAGGTTCTAAGTTCTTTAAAATCAGGAAATCTGGTAACAGTTGACGTGGATTCCAGAGGTAATCGATGCGGGTTCTCAGCACCAATTCTTCGAGCTCTCAAAGCTATCTGCCCACACGCACTCCGACCCAAAACCGGCGTGGAGACGAAGGGTTCCAGAGACCCGGTGATACCTCAATCTTTACAGTAATCGCAATAATGATTTTTCTTTGTTCCCTATTTCTGCTTACTTAATCAATTTTCCAAATCTGGAGAATTATCCACCTTCCTCTCCTAACTCCAGCTTGCTTCACTTCACATTTCGCACCATCATTCCACACAGGCGGTGCTAAATTATTCTCTTCTTCATTTCTTTTCGGTATTCAAACTCTGCCCAACTCTCAGGGCTGGCGTAACTGTCTTTGTGACAAATCTATTTTTTAAGTGCGTAGGCTCTTTTCTTTTCATTAATTTTAATATTCTGACTCCTTTCTATTTTACTAGAATTATCTTTTGACCAGTGAGAAAAAAACAAAAAAACAAAACAAAAAAAACAAAAAAAAAACAGACCATTGCGTTCTCATTTAAGCTTCCGAGCGAGAGATAAAATTATTTCCTATTTTTTTTCGTCAACGAAAATATATTTGTTTAGCTAAATTTTCGAACAAGAGACAAAGCTGTTCCATCCGTGGAGCAATCGATGTCTCAGCGAAAACACAAACCAGATCATCTTCCTGTCACGAAAGGGTCGATTTTCATAATAATGATCCTCAAAGCGGGTTCATTCCCTGTTTTCATTTTTCAATTCGTTTTCGTCAACGAAAATGTAATTTCCGTCTGTCTCTCTTCTCGTTAATGATATGGATTTTTCTAATTCCTCATGAAGAATAAAATAAATCTATTTTCCCAAATCTGTTTTCGACTATATGCGGGACTCTCGATAAATAAGAAAAAGTAACACTTCGAGCTGTGTTCCTATTTTTAGGGGTGATACAATCCCGATGACCCTTTTTTTTTCACTTCCATATTATCAGGGAAAATGTCGTCCATTCTCTGTCTCTATCTCTATCTTCCAGTTTATATTTCAGGTTGGGCTTACCTCTCTTCTGCTCGGAATTAACATTTAACACCGCACGACCTCGGTACCACATTTGTATTTACTATCATTCTTTGCCAGTCTTGAAGAGACTTCAGCAAATAATTTAGGCGATATCATATCTCCGTGCCACATTCCGTTTTAAAATTTCATTTTACCTCTGTTTTTGTCTAGTCAAATTATTATAGTATTCTTGTTGTATATATATTCAATTATTTTCACATAATTTTCCTAAATGCCAAAGTAATTAATTTATTAATATAAATTAATAATTTACTAATCAAAATTTTACTATATAATTAAATATATATTACTGAATGGATTAATATTAATTTAATAAATTTATAAAGTATAAGAACATATAATTACATTAGACTAAATAAATAAGTAATAAGATTAAATTAAATTATTATTTACTATTTAAGAAGTAAACAAATTTTTCTCAGTAATAATTTTTTCTTATTAATTAGCATTAAAATTTTTAATAAGTTTTTTTTATACAGAGTTAAAATTAAATGATACTGTTATTGTTAGTTTATTTTACCATCTATAATCTTTAAAACGCATCTTTTACTTAAATTTTATGTTCGTATTTTCCTATGTAAATTTTTCAAATTTGATATGTTAAGTATTCGTCATTTTTAAGTTTTAAACGTTTTTAATTTCTGTCTAGACTTGTCTATGTCATGATTTCCTGTCCAGCCTTTTCTAAGTAACTTAGTTTTTTTTGTTAACCTATCTCTCTTTTGATGCCATTTCCCTTATTTGTTGTTTGTTCCTCCTTCTTTCTTCTTTTTTTTCCCTTCCTTCTTTAATTCTTATTTTTTAAAAGAAAAAGTTAAAATTTCTTGTTTTAACAAACATTTTTGCATTGACAGGCCCCAGGGAGAATATCTCGGGGGTGAAATGGTCATCTGAATGGGGGTAATAGAGATTCATTTCTATGTAATTGACACACACACACACACACACACACACACATATATATATATATATATATATATATATAAATTTCCAAGAGGATTGAATTCAGGTAGAACTCAATGTCCAGGACAGAGTAAGAATATAATAAAAAGGCTTAAGCACTAATATTCCATGGTTATAATTTATTACATTGGAATCGTAATTTGATCCAATTCATCAGGCCTACAAATTTGTAGGTCTGATGAATTGGATCGCAATACGATTCCAATATAATAAATTATAACCATAGAATATTAGTGTTTAAGTTTTTTTATATATATATATATATATATATATATATATATATATATATATATATATATATATTCAACACTTATCCAAAGATAAAGTAACTTACTCACAAGGAAAATTCTCGAGAGTGCCGCTATCGAAACTTATCAAAATATAAATCTACGCCCCGATTTCTTTCTAATCTCACTTTTCCTGAAAGAATTACTACTTTCACAGTCAAAGTACACTACAACAAAAATGTTGAAAAATCAAAAGTTGGATCTAAATAACGCCTATAATGACTGTGACATGTGACAGGACCCAAAGTATTGTGAGTTCAATACCTGGCTAACGCGGTGGAGAAATTGGAGAGGAGAATTAACAGGAGGTAACTGATAGCTGATATCCATTAGACATGACCCGTGGAAATAGAACAGTCTATCCCAGTGAGCAAAATAAAGGGCTCTGTTCGACATTTCAACCAGCTGAAGTAGGCCGGAGTGTACAACGGCCGAAACGTTGTAATAAATTTGGCGACAAAGATGAGTACAATAAAGATGAGTCCGAATAATGTAAATAGTGTACATAATACCTCATCTCAGAAATATAGACAGATTCATTTATAAAAAAAAAAAAAGAAATAAATATTTCTTAAATATTACTCACTTACTTTTTGTCTTGGTAGAGTTTAATTATGACCCTTTTGTGTCCTCCACATGTTTTGATTGAACTTTCAACCACCTGATGAATATTCATGAATGTTCTCAAATTTAAAAGTCTTGATAAACCAATGATACCCTTGCTCTTGTATATAAACTCGTGCAATAAAATATATTCTAAATTACCTTCATAAATTCCCTCACAGAACGAAACGCGTCCACTAAGAATAATTTTTCCTCTTGTCTCTTTTTTGTTCATATATATATATATATATATATATATATATATATATATATATATATATATATATATATATTGATGCCGAAAGACGAAAGGAAATCACCATATTGATACATGCTTAAATCCTATCTAAGCTTTTGGCTTACATAAGCCATTATCAAAGATGAAATTTACATTTCAATATATCAAACAATACACGGACGAAGCAATAATGATAGTCTGTTTTTGTTGCATGAAAAATTTCAAAGCAATGACTAACTCCTGTATACGAGACGCGGAAGCGAAAATCGCATCGCAGCTCGTGACGTCACACATGACCACGCGAGAGTGAAAACAAGAAGTATTAAGTATGGGAAGCCGTTGCTATAAACCAATGGCTTCTGTTATCAGTTATAGGCATTTGGAGATTTCATAGTTTATTTTGTTCAGGTTAGGTTTCAACTGTTTTATGTATATAGCTTCAAGAATTTTTAGTTTTTGTTCATTGTTTTCATGTTTAAGTATAGTTGTATTTTCAGTAAGGATTTTCCGAAATTGTGTACGCGGCCAGGCATGTTGTTTTAAATGTCTAAAAATGTTAGAGTTATCATTCAAATGTAGAGTCAAGCGTCGTAAAACGAGTTTGTGGTATGACCAACATAAATATTATTTAATCTATTGGAGGTACAAACTCCCAAAGTTGGTTTTTTGCAAATCGCTAACGGGGAGGGGGAATCATTGCGAATAATTAAGTTGGCTATACTAGATTTAGTGTAGTATATGATTAACCTAATTTTTTTGCTAGGATCTGTTGTAGATATATTAGTATTTACTAATTTTTTTAGTATTTTTTCATCTTGTTTATAATTAGTATGTATTTGACTACGATATAGGAGATTAATATGTTTAGGATTAGTAGAAGCAGTACTATTTGCTTATTATTGAGATTTCTAAGAAAGCATCTTATTTGTTCATCAACTACATAGTTTGGAAAGCTATTGTTAATAATATTCTTTAGTTCACTGTAAAAAATCTGTTTTGTGGATGAATTAGTTTCTGCACGATGTATTAGATTCTTTATAATTGGTATTTTTTAGTAATATGGGCATTCGCTCTTGTAGTTAAGTGTACATGAATTTATGCTGGTAGGTTTTTTGTATTTAATGAAACATGCATCAATGAAAAATTGCTGCCTAAATATAAGCAATGTATATATATATATATATATATATATATATATGTGTGTGTGTGTGTTTGTGTGTATGTGTGTGTGTGTATTTAAAAAACAGTGCTCGATACACAAGTAGAGCCTAGATTATAATTATTTTTTTACATATGATTCCATCGCGACACAGAAATTACTATATTTCGAAACTGGTCAGCAGTATTTAAGTTTAATTCCAAGATTAAACCTTAACCATTGGGTGGCATTGCTTTATCTATCAATCTGCGTCAGTTCATATCTCTCTCTCTCTCTCTCTCTCTCTCTATCTATCTCTCTCTATCTCTCTCTCTTGGTTTGTTTCTATCTATCTATCTTGATCTGTTCATATCTATCTATCTATCTATCTATCTATCTGGGTCTGTTCATATCTATCTATCTATCTATCTATCTATCTATCTGCGTCAGTTCATCTCTCTCTCTCTCTCTCTATCTATTTATCTATCTATCTTGGTTTGTTTATATCTATCTATCTGGGTCTGTTCATATCTATCTATCTATCTTGATCTGTTCATAACTATCTATCAATCTATCTATCTATTCATCCATCTATCTGGGTCTGTTCACATCTATCTATCTGGTTCTGTTCATATCTATCTATCTATCTATCTATCTATCTATCTATCTATCTATCTATCTGGGTCTGTTCATATATATCTATCTATCTAGCTATCTAGCTAGCTATTTCTGAATTAATGGATTTTATTTTTTATTCCGACATATTGTTATTACTTATATCGTTATTTTTATTGGATTCCGATATTTGAGTAGACGCTCCCACCTTTTTTTTAAATGGTGTTTATTTCATTTACCGGCCAGCGTACTCGAGAAGACTTTACGAAAACAATGTGTGTCCCCTTCTGACAGTTTTCGAACCCGCGTACCCCCGTGCAGTAGGAGCTAACACCTGATTCGGAAAGCTCTGTCTGCTCGGCTTCCGAGAGATTTTCTATCCAGGAGACTTCTATTTACTTCAATGCACATTTATTCGTTTAGATTTTCTCCAAAGACCTTATCTGCTGAGTTTCGTATCCAAAACGTAAACAAAGCAATTTCTAAAGAATTCATGGATTCTATTCTTTAATCCGACATATGTTATTACTTCAAACGTTTTTTTAGCGTTACACGACTTTGAATAGATGCTCAGTTTTTTTTTTTATATATATATTTTTCTAAGGGGCCTGCGCACTCGGGGAAATGTTCGCTTTGGCAGGATTCGAACCTGCATCAAACTTATGATACGGTGTGCTTTGGCCGCTAGGCTACGATTGCTGGATTGTGAAGCTCTCCGTAGCCGAGTAGTCAAAGTACGCCGGATCAGAAGGTGGATGCAGGTTCGTATCTTACCGAAGTGCACATTTCCTCGGGTGAGCAGGCCGGTAGACGAAATAAACAGTGTTTAATAAAAGCTGCATGCTTATTCAAATAAGGGCATAAACCCTAAAATAACTTTTGAATCAAATGTATATAATTGTTTTGTTCTTATCTTTCTATCTTAGTCTTTCCATGAATGACTATATTGATCAAGTGAATGACAAAATGGAAAAAAAATCCTAAGGCTAGTAATATTTTTACCGATAGAATCATTTTTGCAGGAGGGAGAGAAGAAATTCAACGGAGACTGGTTAAAATGCTGCATCGAAAACTCTAAACATATAGAGACGCTTTGGTTAAAGTTTGTCATGCAATTACTAATCCTATCCATTAATGAGCCTGTGGCTGAGTGGTTAGGATGTTTGCATTCTGACCATGAGAATCGGGTCGATTTGTCAGGAAGTCTCCTTACTGATGTTATCAAAATGGAGTGGTCGATCCCAGCGTGCGACATCTTTGAAAACCATCGTACGGGTTGACCCAGTTCTTGTGAGTGAAACTGTCTTGCCAGAACCCGAGGCTGCCGTTGATAGCTTTGCTAGCACGTAGTAACAAGCCATCGTGTCTGAGGGCTTGAGCGAGCGGGTCTTGTTGAAATTGTTGATCATGCTAGATAACACGCTTTTTCCTAAAAAAAATATAACTAAGGTCCGCTCAGCATAGCTGCAGTATAAACCACAGGTAGGCTCTGTAGTTGCTGAATAAACACAAATGCGCCTGAGCAAACGTCTGCAATAGGGATTGGCTAGCCGCCCTCGTAGACAGGATTCCTCGAATACGATTGACTAGCTATACATAGAGTGTGTCCATAAAGTTCATGTGCACATTAAAAAATTTAAAACTTTATTTGCGAGAGAAATAATTTGTAAAAAGGATTAGAAAGAAGTAAATCTATATTTTTTTAAGGTTTTATTGAAATTTTATTTAAGTTCCTACATGTCCTCCATCATTAGCAATAGAAAGGGTAATACGATTTTGCAGTTCACGGAAAACATTTGTCAACTGTTTTACAGTAATGCGTGAAATTACATTAGTTATTTTAGCTTTCAAATCTTCTAATGAACTAGGTTTGGTTGCTTACACAATTGTTTTCACATGCCCCAATAAAAAAATCGAATGGAGTCAAATCTGGCGAACGTGGAGGCCAATAAAATGGTCCACCCCTTCCGATCCATCTGTTAAGAAATTCCTGATTTAGAAACTCTCTAACACGCAAAGGGACAAGGAGCTCCATCTTGTTGAAACACTGGATTATGACATTTTTATAGATTTTTTCTATTGCAAATACAAATAAAGTTATGAATTTTTAAAAGTGCACACGAACTTTATGGACACCTTGTATATTTGAATATCATATCATATCACAGGGGTGGCCAAACTGCAGCTCGAGAGCCACACGCGGCTCTTTAACCCTTAATATGCTGCGGCTCGTAGAAATATGTTGGCTGAGCTTCTTTTTTCATTACAGTTAATATAAAAGATAAAATAAATCAAAATTTGTAATCATTTATTGGGTATGAATTGAGACCGTATTGGATTAAAACATAATTTTAATGATAATGTGTATGCAACAAATACGTATGTGTAAATTTTGTTCATAACTTGCGGCTCTCTGAACTTTATCGTATGTGGCACGTTTGGCCACCTATCTCTCTCTCTCTTCATCTATCTATCTATCTATCTATCTATCTATCTATCTATCTCAGACTGTTATTATCTATCTATCTATTATCTCAGACTTTAATATCTATCTATCTATCTATCTATCTATCTATCTATCTATCTCAGTCTGTCCATATCTACTATCTTTCTATCTATCTATCTCAGTCTGTTCATATCTATCTATCTATCTATCTATCTATCTATCTATCTCGGTCTGTTCATATCTATCTATCTATCTATCTATCTATCTATCTATCTATCTATCTATGTTAATAATATCAATCTATCATGTTTTATTCAGTTTGCTCTCTAGTCATTCTTTACTTACAATATATTTCTTATATTTTTTGACTGTCTTTCTCATCTTTCCTTCTACATCTTTCTCTCTCAGCACACACACACACGCGCACCCATTCCTTCTTCTTCTTCTTCTTCTTCTTCTTCTTCTTCGGCTTCTTCTTCTTCTTCTTCTTTTTCTTTCTTTATTTATTGGCATAAACGTTCCACACTTTCTCTTCCCTCTTCTTTCTTCTGTGCTTTACTCTGTTCACCTTCAGCTACGAATTCCGTAATCACTGTGTGGGTGGGTAGGGGTCAATAGGCGGGAATGAAATATGATATTACCCCAGGAACGTTGATTTATGGCTGGCGCTGGCCTTCCAGCTGCCATAGAGCACCCACCACTCTACCCTACCGACCTTCCTCTATCTACTAACATATCCACCCTTCAAACCCGCTATTGATCCGTAGCTGCTGGGGGTGTTTGACGCGGAGCTCCAGGGTCAGATTGCATCGGTTTCAAGGTGATAGACCCGTTTGGCTTTTAGCACAAATTAGATTATGGACGTAGAGACGGAATAATAATAATAATAATAATAATTATAATAATAATAATAATAATAACGCCGAATAATAAATAGTACGACTTTGTGCAATTCATTGCAGACCAAGTTTTACATAGAAATATTTTATAAAAAGCACAAAAATATATAATTTTTGGTTGTGTGGGGAAAAGAGAAAAAATTTTTGACAGATGAGAATTTAATGGAAATTGTTTTTCTTTTCTTTTACGGAAGCAGATTCCCGTGATGGTAGGTTCAAATCTCGTAGAAGGCAGTGTTAGTCATTCTTTTTATTCCTTGAATTGTCAAAATTTATGTAATGCAATATTTCACCACCTTTGTTGTTTTAAAATTCTATTTCTGCCTATGCATTCTTTTGGGGAAAGTGTTGTCAGAATGGAAATTCTTTTTTACATTTCGTACACGGAGGAGATAATGATGATTCGACTCCGTGGAAGTAACAATGCGTGTCCCAACAGTAAAAGGGGTCTTCTGACTGATGAAAACAAAGACTGGAGTTCATCTGAATATTTGCCATGGATGCAATGATCGAGTCAGGATGGGTTTGTAATATTTTGCTTTTGTGGGAAACAGATTGCAAAAGTTGGAAAGCAGTTCTTTCTCCACAGGACCTCGCAAAAGATTCTGAACTTTATCAAGCCTGAAAACAATACTCCATTTTGGATTTCATCTGACTCTTTTAAAGATGCAAAATATCAGGTGTCAGATACTTTCTGGAGAGATATTGTAAATCGATCATTTTTCAAGCTTCTTTACCAATGGATTGTATAGATCAGTTCCAATTAAGGTCTGCAGTGAACAGCTATGCACAACTTTTTATTTTGCTGATCATAGTAACATGTACCCCGTAAACATTCCTCCTTGTATCTATTTTGTCATTCATTCATTTGTTGAGTAGGTCTTCTTCTTGAGATCATTATCGGTGTCATATCCCTATTTCTGAAGGTTGGCTCTACAGCGTTCAACAGCTGTTCGGGGGCGATTCAAGCAAGACCAGAAGAGCCAGACATCACTGTAGCCCGGAGATAAGGGATTCTGTAGGGCTGAAAGGGAGCCTGTGTTCCACGTTGTTAAGGTGGACCACAGAGACAGACGCTGATTCTGTGGTCTACGGAAGGGGAGTTCACGTCGCGATTCTCGTCAGATGAGTTCATTTTTTGCCAATCCTTCCTGTAGGCTACACAGCACACTATACTTGCATTGAGTAAGTTACTCGCTGTCTTTTTTTTTTTTAGCTTGTTTAATTCTACAAGGCTAACTCATTATGGCTCCTGGAAATGTCAGTTGTCTCTTTCTGATTTTATCCTTAAAAATTACTTTGTCTTTTAATTATTTAAAGAAGCCTTTTCTGTTTTCCATCATTATGGCTGATGCTAACCTCCACGAGAGAAACTCACTGCAACTTCTTGGTCTCACGTTTTCTATTGACATAAAGTGGGGAGATTAGATTCAATCAATTGCTAGGTCTGCTGCTAGGGAAGTTGGTAGACTGTGTCGATCCAGAAAATATTTCTTGCCAGAATTCATTTTGCACATTTATAAACCTCAGTTACAAAGCAAACTAAGTACAACTGACGATTAAAAGATGAAAAACTTTGCAAATTTTGACATCATTCTTTGGTCTTTTTTTTTATTCAAATCTCTGAATTTGTTTTGCTCAGGATAAGTCATTATCCTGAGCAAAACAAATTCATTAAAACATTAAATAAAATTCATTGTTTTATCCATAATGTGGAATGCGTTAAAATTATTCAATTTCTTAGCAAGAAA